TTCCAACACTCATCGTCACTTCCCCTTCAACTAGTCTCTGTTTATTCTGTAACTCCTGTTTCGAGTTACTAATCTTAGCAACCGAACAAGTATCAAATACTCAGGGGCTACTATAAACACTAGTAAGGCACATATCAATAACATGTATATCAAATTTACCCTTGTTCACTTTGCCATCCTTCTTATCCACCAAATATTCAGGGCATTTCCGCTTCCAGTGACCATTTCCTTTGCAGTGTAATCACTCAGTTTCAGGCTTTGGTCCAGCTTTGGGCTTCTTCGCGGGAGTGACAACTTGCTTGTCATTCTTCTTAAAGTTCCCTTTCTTTCCCTTTGCCCTTCTCTTGAAACTAGTGGTCTTGTCAATCATCAACACTTGATGCTCTTTCTTGATTTCTACCTTCGTCGATTTGAACATCACGAAGAGATCGGGAATCGTTTTCGTCATCCCTTGCATACTATAGTTCATCACAAAGTTCTACTAACTTGGTGATGGTGACTAGAGAACTCTGTCAATCACTATCTTATCTGGAAGATTAACTCCCACTTGATTCAAGCGATTGAAGTACCCAGACAATCTGAGCACATGTTCACTAGTTGAGCGATTCTCCTCCATCTTTTAGCTATAGAACTTGTTGGAGACTTCATATCTCTCAACTCGGGTATTTGCTTGAAATATTAACTTCAATTCCTGGAACATCTCATATGATCCATGACGTTCAAAACGTCTTTGAAGTCCCGATTCTAAGCCATTAAGCATGGTGCACTAAACTATCAAGTAGTCATCATATTGAGCTAGCCAAACGTTCATAACGTCTGCATCTGCTCCTGCAATAGGTCTGTCACCTAGCGGTGCATTAAGGACATAATTCTTCTCTGCAGCAATGAGGATAAACCTCAGATCACGGATCCAATCCGCATCATTGCTACTAACATCTTTCAACACAATTTTCTCTAGGAACATATAAAAATAAACATATGAAAGCAACAACGCGAGCTATTGATCTACAACATAATTTGCAAAATACTACCAGGTACTAAGTTCATGATAAATTTAAGTTCAATTAATCATATTACTTAAGAACTCCCACTTAGATAGACATCCCTCTAGTCCTCTAAGTGATTACGTGATCCATATCAACTAAACCATGTCCGATCATCACGTGAGATGGAGTAATTTCAATGGTGAACATCACTATGTTGATCATATCTACTATATTATTCACGTTCGACCTTTCGGTCTCCGTGTTCCGAGGCCATATCTGTATATGCTAGGCTCGTCAAGTTTAACCTGAGTATTCCGCGTGCGCAACTGTTTTGCACCCGTTGTATTTGAACGTAGAGCCTATCACACCCGATCATCACGTGGTGTCTCAGCACGAAGAACTTTCGCAACGGTGCATACTCAGGGAGAACACTTCTTGATAATTAGTGAGAGATCATCTTAAAATGCTATCGTCAATCAAAGCAAGATAAGATGCATAAAAGATAAACATCACATGCAATCAATATAAGTGATATGATATGGCCATCATCATCTTGTGCTTGTGATCTCCATCTTCAAAGCACCATCATGATCACCATCGTCACCGGCGCGACACCTTGATCTCCATCGTAGCATCGTTGTCGTTACGCCATTTATTGCTTCTACGACTATCGCTACCGCTTAGTGATAAAGTAAAGCAATTACAGGGCGTTTGCATTTCATACAATAAAGCGACAACCATATGGCTCCTGCAAGTTGCCGATAACTTCGGTTACAAAACATGATCATCTCATATAATAAAATATAGCATCACGTCTTGACCATATCACATCACAACATGCCCTGCAAAAACAAGGTAGACGTCCTCTACTTTGTTGTTGCAAATTTTACGTGGCTGCTACGGGCTGAGCAAGAACCATTCTTACCTACGCATCAAAACCACAACGATAGTTCGTCAAGTTAATGTTGTTTTAACCTTCGCAAGGACCGGGCATAGCCACACTCGGTTCAACTAAAGTTGGAGAAACAGACACCCGCTAGTCACCTGTGTGCATAGCACGGCGGTAAAACTAGTCTCGCGTAAGCGTACGCGTAATGTCGGTCCGGGTCGCTTCATCCAATAATACCGCTGAACCAAAGTATGACATGCTGGTAAGCAGTATGACTTGTATCGCCCACAATTCACTTGTGTTCTACTCGTGCATATAACATCAACGCATAAAACCTAGGCTCTGATACCACTGTTGGGGAACGTAGTAATTTCAAAATTTTCCTACGCACACGCAAGATCATGGTGATGCATATCAACGAGAGGGGAGAGTGTGTCCACATACCCTTGTAGACCGAAAGCGGAAGCGTTATGACAACGCGGTTGATGTAGTCATACGTCTTCACGATCCGACCGATCCAAGTACCGAACGTACGACACCTCCGAGTTCAGCACACGTTCAGCTCGATAACGATCCCCGGGCTCCGATCCAGCAAAGCTTCGGGGATGAGTTCCGTCAGCACGATAGTGTGGTGACGATGATGATGTTCTACCGGCGCAGGGCTTCGCCTAAACTCCGCGACGATATGACCGAGGTGGAATATGGTGGAGGGGGGCACCGCACACGGCTAAGGAACGATCCGTAGATCAAATTGTGTGTTGTGCCTAGAGGTGCCCCCCGGCCCCCGTATATAAAGGAGCAAGGGGGGAGGGGGCGGCCGGTCTAGGAGGGGCGCGCCAAGGGGAGTCCTACTCCCACCGGGAGTAGGACTCCCTCCTTCCTTGTTGGAGTAGGAGAAGGGGGGAAAGAGGGGGGGGGAGGAGGAAGGAAAGGGGGGCCGCACCCCTTGTCCAATTCGGACCAGAGGGGGGCTGCGCGCCTCCTTCCTTTCGGCCTCTCTCCTCTATTCCCGTATGGCCCAATAAGGCCCATATACTCCCCGGCGAATTCCCGTAACTCTCTAGTACTCCGAAAAATACCCGAATCACTCGGAACCTTTCCGAACTCCGAATATAGTCGTCCAATATATCGATCTTTACGTCTCGACCATTTCGAGACTCCTCGTCATGTCCCTGATCTCATCCTGGACTCCGAACTCCTTCGGTACATCAAAACTCATAAACTCATAATAAAACTGTCATTGAAACCTTAAGCGTGCGGACCCTACGGGTTCGAGAACTATGTAGACATGACTTATAACTATTCTCGGTCAATAACCAATAGCGGAACCTGGATGCCCATATTGGTTCCTACATATTCTACGAAGATCTTTATCGGTCAAACCGCATAACAACATACGTGGTTCCCTTTGTCATCGGTATGTTACTTGCCCGAGATTCGATCGTCGGTATCCAATACCTAGTTCAATATCATTACCGGCAAGTCTCTTTACTCGTTACGTAATGCATCATTCCGTAACTAACTCATTAGCTACATTGCTTGCAAGGCTTATAGTGATGTGCATTACCGAGAGGGCCCAGAGATACCTCTTCGACAATCGGAGTGACAAAACCTAATCTCGAAATACGCCAACCCAACATGTACCTTTGGAGACACCTGTAGTACTCCTTTATAATCACCCAGTTACGTTGTGACGTTTGGTAGCACCCAAAGTGTTCCTCCGGTAAACGGGAGTTGCATAATCTCATAGTTATAGGAACATGTATAAGTCATGAAGAAAGCAATAGCAACATACTAAACGATCAAGTGCTAAGCTAACGGAATGGGTCAAGTCAATCACATCATTCTTCTAATGACGTGATCCTATTAATCAAATGACAACACATGTCTATGGTTAGGAAACATAACCATCTTTGATTAATGAGCTAGTCAAATAGAGGCATACTAGTGACACTATGTTTGTCTATGTATTCCCACATGTATTATGTTTCCGGTTAATACAATTCTAGCATGAATAATAAACATTTATCATGAAATAAGAAAATAAATAATAACTTTATTATTGCCTCTAGGGCATATTTCCTTCACATTGGTCCCGGTTTGTCCCACCAACCGGGACCAATGGCCCACGTGGCCCGGCCGGCCCCTGGGGCTCACGAACCGGGTCCAATGTCCCCATTGGTCCCGGTTCTGGATTGAACCGGGACTAATGGGCTGGACCGGCCTGGACCATTGGCCCCTTTTCTACTAGTGCACCTAGACCAGCTGTTACCACTAGTAAAGTTTGTCATAAAAAGCCTTCCCGTGTTTAGTTGTCAAATTGATGATCTAGCTAGGAACATGAATTTTCGTCAAAAAAGACTACCTAGCAACGAAAATGTCAAAAAGAACCACTTGTACCTTGGCGGCAGGTGCGTCAACCGACACGTGGCACCTGCCACCATGGGTCTGGCTGCATTACCTGCCGAGGGCCACTGGCTCATGCAGCGTCAGCTACACAGGATTTTGGCCGATGGCGCACGGGAAAACGAAACGGAGTCGCGACGTGGCACCTGCCGCCACGCATCCTGCCGGCAGCCTGTGCTGCTTTTCCGCGCGAAACGCCATGACAGGCGACAAATTCTAGTGATATGTAAATGTGCTACTGTACAAGATTACAAGCCATCCTTAATGGCAGTACCTCCTTTTAAAAATAAGTAATCATAGTCTAGTCTTAGCCTGTGTGTAATAGACGGCGTTTGACATTTTTAGTGATGGAGTAGCCGCGTGTCACAACGACTTTTCAGACACAACAGAAAAGCAGCATATGCTGCTACCAGGATGCCGCGGTGCCAATCCATTCCGTTTTCGCGTGTGCCATCCGCCTAAATCCTGTGCAACAGGGGCTGCCGCCTGAGCCGGTGGCGGCAGGTTCTGCCGCCAGACAACATGGCAGCAGGTGCCACATATCGTCATCTGCTGCCACGGCATAGGTGGTCATTTTTGACATTTTTCTCTATAGGTAGTCTTTTTTGACAATTTCACTGGACAGATGGCCCTTTTTGACGAAAATCCTTAGGAATACATGTGATCCTCTACAAAAAAGGAGGGTGTATGAAATTATACCACTTATCACTACTTATGTCCTACTGATTGAGCCACGTAGTAAACGAGCTATGCAACCTCTCGGAGGATCGTACAACCCATAGTTTTAGGAATGAACGAGCTACCTGATTCAGCATTTGTATCCGCTGATCCTGCTGCACTAGAGGAAACCCCTTGGCACTCCTAATGTTTCTACCTTGTCGTGTGGCTCTGCGTGCTCCAAGCTTACTTTCCGCACTTGTCTTCTCCACGCATAGGTGAGCACTGCCATGGTTAGACCTCCAGCATACCTGGTACGACATAGCCTCGGCATTAAGATGAAGATAGTCTATTGCCTTAGGCATCATCATCTCGTCGAGTTGGTCCAGATGAACATTTACATGTGTGAGATGGCGTCGATTCTCTGTATCGATCACTTCTATTGTGGAACCAATAGACTTAGGGTCCTCTAAAGAAGCATGAGGCATGAGTAGTATTCCAAACTTCAATGGTTGGGAGTTCTCCAAAGATGAATTATCGCCATGACCAGCAAATACGGTTGATCCTGGCAGGTTTTTGTACTCCGATGGTGAGGTGTGACACTGGAAAAACACTTGGCAGACTGGTTCAGGAAATATACTCGAAAACTTCAATTTATTTCCGCTTCCATTACTGATGTCGCAGCCACTATGGAAAGAAGGCACAACGTCGTGTTCAAATCCTTGACAACATAATGGATCTGGACGGAACCATTCAGTCAAAGTTCTATGGACGTGAACCCAGTGTTTCTCGTGTCCAACACAGGAGAAATCTTGCGTAGGGAGATGGGTGATCTCCTTGATAACAACGTCGGTCATAGAGTTGAAGTGAGGTGTCATAACTCGCAAGCACTTGACAACGGTTCCAATTATGTCCGTACTCTCAGACAGACGCAGCATGACCCCTAGGCAAAAACTGTTCTTGGGCACCTTACAATCTTCGTACATGAAGGATAGAAAGGCCTCCAGCCCACGCTCCTGGAAATTGATTGGCCCTATGCGGAAGTATTGGTACTGACCTCCAGGACGCAACAACTGATAAGCAATCATTTTGCCCGTGAAGAGATGCCCAATGAGAGGGTCGAAGAACAGGTTCTGACGTGGTGTCCCGCCAATCTGCACATACCTGATAAATTCATCAGCACCGTCCGCAAGCCTCTCGAATCTTCGAACAACAGCGGTGGTGGCACTCCCCGCAGAGCGATGATCATTGTCGTGGCCAACGAAAGAGGAGATGAACACCTTGGTCGCATGAGCCATCCGTCTAGGAAATGAGGATTTCCTTACCACCTGCTCTGCCTCGTCTTCTTCCCGAGAAAGTTGCCTGCATCTGCGCGCTACGTCCTGGGCAGAGTGCGCTTGAGCTTCTTTCGCCAACGGAGGAGCGACGTGTCGGTGATCTGCCACTTGTTGGACGTTTGGACTGCGGCCTCCATTTTGATGCGCGCCATCTCGAGCCTCTCTAGGCCACCACCTCCTGATGCTTCTTCATCTGCTTTGTCCTCGTCTTTGCTGGTGGGGGCAATACCCGAAATAATCCGGCTAACTGCTTCCCCAACAATGACCGACTTGACCATCTCAGCCATGGATTGCGATTTGTGTGTAGCAATACCCTCCACTACGCACCAGCTCAAGAAATGGATAGCTCTCAGTTCTACAAGTTGTATTGCTTCTTATTGTTACTTCTCCTTGCTTCGTTGGTGTAGTGATCCAAGTGAGCGGCTGAAATATCGAAGCCTGTGCTTCCAAAACAAGTGAGCGGCTGAAACATCTAAGCTTGATGGTGTCCTTTTGGGTAAGTGGAGACAAAAGATTTGTCTCACTACGTTAGCTAAGAGAGAGCTGGTCTGCTGCTCCCTGCTGGGGGAGCAAAATTGGTGAGACAAACTATATTTGGAGATGATTTCCTTGGAGGTGGTGCCAGCGGACATGGCGTTTAGCACTCCATTGTCTTTTGAAGGAGTACTATTCTTGCATGACCGGCGGACCGGCAGTACCTCCTCACCTCATCACAATAGTACTTGTCGCCTCAGCTAACAATCATCTTGAATATCGATCGAAGCACGCCACCTTATCTTGAAGGTACGTACTGAGCATTCATTTCTAGAGGGTGCCACAAGCTCACAATTTACATCCTGGCAGGACTGGACCCTAGAGCAGAGGGTGACAAACTTTACATACACAATGTATTGATAGCCTAATCTAAAACACTTACTTCTCTACTTCTACTCCCTATGTTCCTAAATATAAGTCTTTGTAGAGATTCCAATATATACAGTCTACATACGGATGTATATAGACATATTTTAGAGCATAGATTCACTCATTTTGCTCCATATGTAGTTCATACTGAAATCTCTAGAAATACTTATATTTAGGAATGGAGGGAGTACAAAAGATTCGGTTAGTGATGATGATGTGCCTGCCTTTCGTCATCTCTGACCATCAGATCTACATCTAACGATTGTGAGATAAGTTTTGGCATTTTTGCAACAAGACCCCGCTTCACTACACCAATTTGTAGAAAACCCCTTAGTACTAACCAGCCACATCCCTCCCTCAGCTCATCAAAAGAGCCGCGAGGAATACATTTTCAATGAAACTGAATATGTTTTTAGTTTTTTATATGTACACACCAAAACTAGAGTGGTCTTCTTTTAGTTTTGTGAACATGTATTATTCTACTTTGGATCCGTTGCAACACACGAGCACATTGCTAGTAATTCTAAAACACTATGAAAACATCGTCATGATTCTGACACATACCTTCAAAATAGCACAAGCTTTTAGACAATTTGTCTTTTTATAGAGAGAAGTTTATACTGCAGCCTAAACTTGTCTTAGGGTTCACTTTACAACCCTAAACTGTACTTTGGTTCAAGTTTCACAATCATTTATAATACAACTTTGAGATGGATTGATCTAATTTCGATTAATCTTCTGCGTTCGCCCTCCCACCTGTGATCCTCTGTTCCCATATCCTCACCTAGGGCGCTTGGCACATGATTTGAAATACCTCGGTGAAAAGTAAAGGAACTAGGTATGGAATTTATTTATTTTTGGAAAGAAAGACATTGAATGAGGAAGGGAGACTAGAAAGCTTGAGTGGGGGAGAAGTGGGAACCAGAGAGAGCATGGAGGAAGCTAGAACCTAAGATCAGGGAAGGATATGGAATAGAAGACAGAATTAGGAGAAAGAGAAAGCGGCATGATGCATGTCGCGGGCAAATCGCCCAAGTCGTCGCTCAAGTTACTGTAGGAGGGGAAAGTTTTGGTACTATCAGTTCACTGCTCTTTTTTTTTGAGCGAGGTTATCAGTTCACTGCTGCTACTATTGTCTTGGACAGAACCTTGAGGCCTGGCAAAAAGAAAAAAAACTGGAATGGCAAAAGGCCGCAGGCTCCACTTGCTGACTGTCTCACTTTAGGCGGTGATGCTGCCGAATCATGGGCCGACGAATCAGCCCATGCTCAATCGCATAGCCTTTTTTTCTTGTTGACGGATGATTAAATTTAGCAGAAAAAAACAGCGACACCACCTCAAAAAGGGGGGGAAAACAGCGTAAAAACCAATTTGGAGATGCGAGGAATCAAACCCCGTGCCTCTATTCCGCATTGATGAGCATTCTACCAATTGAGCTACATCCCCTTTCACATGCATTGCATTAATTCAAGCCAATAATATTAATTAACTGACTGCAATCAAGAAAAATATTTGTCATAAATATATATCCCAAGAAAAACGTGAGTTTGTTTTCATGCAGGCGTGAAAGCTATACATACACCATGCCGTTGAGCAGGCTGTACTTAAACTAGTTTCTTCCTGTAACAAACAAAACAGTCAGCCAGACATGAGGACACATGGCTAGTTCACCCAGCGTAGGGCAGAAACCAAGTCAATTTGTGTGCTCGCTATTATCGATCACACAAGATCATTTAAATTGTGAACTGATCACACAAGATCAGGTTGGGTACAAAGCTCCCATAAAAAAAGAGTTCGGTACAAAGCTCCCATAAAAAAAGATTGGGTACAAAGCAAACGATGACATCGCTTAAATTAACGCTGGAGCTTGTCCTATCTATCCAATTATCCATCCTTGAGCATCCAACTTCCAGCCAAGTTGACGATTCAATCAGCAGTCAATGCAGCGTCACGTAGTGTTCTTTCTTGCCGGCTAATTTTTGCAGGAAAAGGAGAAGTGATAAATAAAAAACAAAATGGAGATGCGAGGTATCGATCCCCCTGCCTCTATCAAACATAGATTAGGGCTCTACCAATTGAGCTACATCCCCATTAATATGGATTGCACTAATTTTTGGTTTTAATATTTATTAATTAATTACTTGTGATCAAGAAAAATATTTCTATATAGGTCCAGCAATTTTTTGTTTTAATTCAGTTGATTAGATAAACAAATGTGACATTCTTAAGTAAAACTCCTACTCTGCGCTGGCCTTTTATCCTTCTTATCTGTCTTACCCAGGCTCCTTTCAGGCTTGCTAAATCTGGTTTGTATGTGTTGGTACAATTGAGTTCCCCGAGAGTTTTGGAGATTGTTGGATCAAAACAGTGATGGACTAATGTGTTTGCTAGTACACACAGAGATATTAGTGACGGTGCAGAAATCCTTCAGTACCCTCGGTAGAGTTACTAGCATGGCTAGAAGTCTTAGATCGAAGGTCACACTGTGGTTTTACTCAGGTTCGGGCCTCCGATGATGAGTAATGCCCTACATCCTTGTTGTTGTTGTCATTCATGGAGGGTATACCTCGTGCGAGGGACTACAAGGAATTGTGTGAAGTTCTATCGAGAGTTGAGTTCTAATGAGTGCACTCTAGCTTCCCTTATATACATGGTGGAGACTAGGGTATATACCTTTCGTCGGGCTCCTTCCTGTCGTCGGGTACTCGTTGGACCTTCTAGACCCTTAGGCAGGCCTGGGCCTAAATTTATCTTAGGCCCCGATTCATTTTTTGGATTTTATTATCCGGCTGTAAACATATACACATGTACTTTACCGATCTCCAGCAAAATCAGGGTATCTGGAAAACAGGTGCAGGGTGGGCTCATGGTGGAGAAAAGGATGACGGAAATGAAGATGGCGCTGGCGCCTCGCCCCACGTAGTCCATGTCGATGGTGCCTTTTGTCCATCCCCTACTCCCCTTGGCTCCGGTGGCCCCAGCAGACGAGCACGCTCCCCTAGGTCGATGATGCGGATACCGAGCAACAAACGATGGATCGAGTGTTGTATCGGATACCGGCGTGTGACTGTGGTGATTTGGAAAGTAAGTGTAATTATTACAACAAAAAAAGACAACCCAGCCACATAATCAAGGGTCACCCAGTTTTTTTAGGACGGGTTTTTTGTACTGATGTATTCTTTTTGTTCTGCAAGAAAACTTCTAATCTATTCATCTTCTATTATGGTAGTACAACGGACATTAGAAATAACTAGCAAAAGGGCCCGTGCGTTGCAACGGGAGAGAAAAAACCATAACCTTCAACGGCCATGACTACATTTTGCCGCATCACCGAAATACACTATGACCCTCAATTTCATGAAATCATGAACAATTTTCGAAATCATGAACATTTTTTAAAACTTGTGCACATATCTGAAATCGTGACTTCTAATTTTTTGAACATTTTCTAAAATCAAGAATTTTTTTGAATTCATGAACGTTTTATACTATTTGCAAACACTATTTTTAAATTCTGAACATTCTTTTAAACAATATTCTTGAATTGGCGAACAATTCTAGAATCGACGAATATTTTATTGGAAATTGGTGGAACAATTTGTGAAATTCACGGACATTTTTTAATTTACCAAACATTTTTTGATTTAATGAACAGTTTTTGAAATGCATGATTATTCTTTGAATCAACGAACATTTTATAATAAATAAATTAGCGGAATTTTTAGGATATTTTTTCATTTTTAAGATTGTTTTGAATTAGCGGAATTTTCTTCAATTTCATTAACATTTTTTAATACGCAAACTTTCTAAAAAATCATGATTTTTTTATTTTCTGAATAATTGTTTTTAAAATTGCGAATATTTTTTAAGTCCTCCTCATGAGTCATTGACCGGTGCCAAAGACGGGCTTCTCCATTTCAGCATGATACGTCGCCTGCCTATGATTCCACCCTTGTTTTATTTTTGATCTGTTAACCAATAAATTCCATACTTCCACTAACTTCCATATTTATAATGTTCTTCCTTTTGCATCTTCATTTCAATGTCGTTGAATAAGT